CGGCAACTGCTGCACCTACATTCCGTCCCACGTTCTCAGCGGCCTGTACTACGACAAGTACCGCAGCATCGCCACAGGGGTGTCGACCAGCGGATCCGGACTGGGGGGCGCCGTCCTGCCGGTCCTGGTCGGCTTCCTCATCGACGTGTACAGCTGGAAGGGTTCGATCATCTTCCTGGCGGGTCTAAACCTCCACCTGTTCATCTTCGCCGCGCTGCTCCGCTACCCTCCCTTGCCGTCCGTGGCGGGGGAGCAGAAAACCCCGAAACCCAAACTTGTCGCGGAGGAATACGTGGCCGACCGACAGCAGGAGTCGAACGTCTTGGTGACCCCGAGGAAACGAAGGAAAGACGAGCCCAGGTTCGAGATGACCAACTCCGCCGGCGAACGTCCTTCCGATTCGGCGCCGGATCGCCCCAAAAGCTACGCCAGCTGCGCCAGCTACCAGACGATCGCCAACTACGACAACTTCGGAGTGGATCTCAGTGAAATCGACTTCATCGACAAGCTGAGCATGAGCACAACGGTGAGCTCGCGGGATAATATTTCCGGTCGTCTGCAGACTTCCATCAGCCGTAACGCCATGACGGATTCCTGGACGGACAAAATGTCCAACATGAAGCTGAGAGACAGTTCTTTTGTTAAATCGACGAAGCTCCCAGAAACTAATCGACAGGAGCATCCCAGGATAAGTTTCCTAGACGTGATTTACCCTCATTCCATCTCAACGCATTCTTTGTTCGCATTGGGATCTCGCGGTTCGACCGTAATTTACATCGACACGATGCGCTTGCTGGAGGCGCGCCAATCGGTCTCCGAGATGGAAAGAAGCGCGTCGGGAACTTCGATCATCCCGCGTTCATCCCGGCACGTCTACATCTTCACCAACTACCGTTTCAACATCTACTTCTTCAGCAACATCATGTGGAACGCCGGCTACGCCATCATACAGTCGTTCGCGCCAGAGTTCCTCCAGGACAAAGGGCTGACCATGATGGAGGCCGCATGGCTCAGCGGCGCTTTCGGACTGGCCAGTTTTGTGGGCGGGGTTGTCGGGGGCGTGTCGGGAAACATAGAGACCATCAACCGGCAGATGCTGTACACCGCCGCGTGCCTGGTGATGGGCGCGGCCACCATCGGATTCCCTCAGTTCCAGCACACCGCCTTGTACACCTTGCTGCTGGTCATCAGTGGCCTTGCCTTCGGAGTCATTCTGGGACTGCTCATTGTTGTACTCACAGACCTGGTCGGCGTGGAGAGTCTCGGCAATGGCTTGGGCTACCTGATGCTGTCCAATGGCCTTGGGACGTTCCTGGGCCCCCCTCTTGCCAGTAAGTAGTTCTTTAGTCTTTTTTAGCTGTAGCTTTTCTTGTAAAGGTGTCTGGGTTCAGTCGTTGCCAGAAAGGTGATGGGTCATTAAAAATAAATGGTTATACCAACTGCAGTGGTTCTGGCGGCCCGGGGGGGGGGGTGCGCTTGGCCCACCCCAAGCGGCACTAACTCTAGCTACGCCCACTAAGTGTAACCCTACTTAAAAACTATCTTACACTACGGAGACCCCCATGCAATCAATCAATTTAAATTAAACAAGTGGTTACACTCGATATCCCATAAATGGCCTTAACAATGATTTCGGCCCTGGAAAAAATAAGGTTTGATCTAGAAATGGGATCCTTAAATAAGGGGACAGATTCACTGTCCTTAAATAAGGGGACAGATTCACTGTCCTTAAATAAGGGGACAGATTCACTGCAGGCTGGGATAAGCACACATATTATTTGTAGTGCAAAAAAAAAAAAAGGCAAAATTAAAAAGAATAAACAAGAAATTGTGTATTTTTTACTGTCCTTAAATAAGGGGACAGATTCACTGTCCTTAAAAAAGGGGACAGATTCACTGCAGGCTGGGATAAGCACACATATTATTTGTAGTGCAAAAAAAAAAAAAGGCAAAATTAAAAAGAATAAACAAGAAATTGTGTATTTTAATGGGAATTATGGACCTGTTCTTGGGTAATTTGATGGTCAATGCTCGGTTCTAAATCTGTCAATGCCACTGAGATACCCATAATTCGGCAATCTGGCCCACAGTTTAAGGACCCCTGGTCCAGTTTAATGCATGTCTTAACAAATATTTAATTCTACTTATTGGTCATTGCCTGAACTTTCAATGGCTTTTAGTTTGTTTGTTTTAGAAGACTCTAGGAATTATTGTACAAGTTACGAGCATTGGAATGGCGTCCGTCACAACGTGACGATGGTGCAGACTTGGCAAGACGAAATCACAAGGTCTGGGATTTGTTCTTTACTACCATAAGCTGGATCCCAAGAGAGCAAATCTCCTCGCACCTGCATAACCCATATATGGATGATACAGCTTGGCACCGATTGCGTCGCAGGAGCGGTCAGAATTTTTCATTGTATTAATGTATCCGCCTACGGGACTCCATCTCCGGGTTTTAATTCCGAGTTTAATTCTCCTAGATGAGTTCCCATCCAAGGTTAACGGGTCCCATCCAGTCAGGGTGCTTGAGATGTTTTCGCTTGACTTGGTCTTTGGTGGCGATTGAACTCCAGACCACAAGTTTGGGATCGCAACATTGCAATAGACGCTAATTATTTTAGTATGCCTATATCTTAGTGCAGGGTCTCTTGAATAATTTTCTATACCGATTGTAGTATAGCCAAGCTGATATTCTGTAGTAGCTCAAGAATCCCAGTGTCAATAATCAATTTCTAGCCTAGCTGGAGGAATGAAAAAAAAAAAATGATTAATAACTGAAATCTTGTCCCCAGGTGTGATGAAAGACGCCACTGGAGGTTTTGGCACAGGCTTATCTGTGGCTGGAGGTCTGTGCGTACTTGGTGGACTCATTATGTTTCTGATGCCATGTCGCCATTACTGCAACCATAACGGCTGTAAAGGAAAGCAGCCCACTAAAGAGGAATGTAAAATGGTCTCCCTTTGATTATTTTTGACATTTTTTTTTCTCGTATTTAACTAAACTTTTCTTTCTGTTCGTTCAGGACTGCTGACATAACGATAAAGAGTAGAACTATTTTAGCTGGATAAAAAGTCGGATAGAACAATGTACGGTACCCAACGAAGCATGCAACAGAGGCAATGGTGGTCGTTTTAGAGCTCCAGATTCTTGCCCATTGGGTTCAACAACAAGATGAAAATGCCAGTGTCCCCATGCCCGGGATCAGCATAGCCCTTGACCGTTTCAGCCCTGTCACTCAAACTATCGTGTCTGTCAGCATAGCACTTGATCGTGTCAGCCTTGTCAGTCAAACCATATTGTCATTAATCATAGCCATTTGGGGGAGGAAGAAGAGGAAAGACGGACACAGAAGTGTGTCTGCCAGAACCTGCTAACAAGATGAGAAGTTAGCCGAGCATGAGCTCTCCCTGATGCAAGCTAACTTCAAGCCAGTATAAGCGATGGAGTCTTGTGAAAACTACATAGCGTAATGTCACTCTCCTCTTTGATCCAAACATTTTGAAGCTGGTCGTGACCTCAAACATACAAGCGGAGTAATAACAAATATTTAAGACTCCCGACATGGCACAAGCACCATACGTGACTGTCACGTGACAATGCACCGGACATCTGCCTACCTACATCTTTTGACCCGCCTTCCTAATTTCACAGTTCACTCCGTTTTAACAATTCTATTACGGTATAGAAAGCAATTAGAATTTATCAGTCTACTTGATCATTTGAGCAATTATTTTATTTTGATATGAATATTTGATGTGATTTGTTTGTCATGATTAATGTTGAGCTGTATCGCCACATTACTATGCCTGTGGCTTACATTAGTTTATGAAATCTGCCGATTGTATGATTTTCTTAATGTGCTTTATAACTTTACTTTTATTGCTTTATAACTATACTTTATGAGCTTTATAACTATACTTAATGTGCTTTATAACTATACTTAATGTGCTTTATAACTATACACTTATTTTACTTAAGTTTTTCCCAACTATGCACCAACTTTTACACAACTTCTTTTGAATGACTGGAACAAATTTGTCACCTGGCAAGTGTCAGAGTGAAAGCTATTGCCAACCGGGTCAATGTAACATTACATTGGCTACGGTGAGACCGCAGAAACCATTGTCTAGCTTGTAACATGCCCAGCCACAATAAACATAATAAATTAAGAGCCAGGCTCACATAGACTTGATATTTTTATTGAACAAATCATCACCTGGTAAGCCACCGATGCAAGAATAACATGCAGTTAGCAAACATGAACATATTAAAAGCATGTGAAAACGTTCACCTCACACTCACACATTCAAATGTAACAAGTGCATTTTATCTTGAAGGGTGAAGGTCATCCATATATAGGACATCTCCCTGTAACAATATCTACAGCCCTAACTGAAATTCATTTTCCTTTATAAAACAATAACTTTTTGACCCCCAAAAAAACAACAAACTTTTAAACTCTTTATAGAATATTTGGATTCTTCTGTTAGTTCACTACCGTATCTGGAAATTTATTTGGAAGAAATTTGAAGACGGAAAATTAATGGATGGAAGTTTGGTTGAACTGAAATTTGACGGAACGGAAGTTTGGTCGAATTTATTTACCAGTTCACACAATCAAATTTCTTTTTGAATGCACTATACTTAATAGTAAAACAAAATATGGGCATTTTTTGTTTTACTATAAAGTATAGTGCATTAAAAAAGAAATTTGACAAAAATTTAATCTTGTGAACTGAAAAAAAAATTTGACCAAACTTCCTATCAAATTTCCATTCGACCATACTTATGTTGATCAATTTTCCATCTACGAAATTTCTTTCAAACAAATTTCCGGTAACTGTTCATTACAGCTGTCAAAAGAAACGAGCCATTGTTTTAAACAATCAACAGTCCTGGTGTATTTTTCTTTAAAGAATAAATTGACTCTCACATTGACTCTCACATTGACTCTCACATTCTTTTTCAAAAAGTACTGCCACATCCACACCCCCCCCCCCTCTTTCCTTATATCCATTAATATTTGTATCTGCTTAAAAATTCCTCTCTAAACTTTGATCCCTTGACACACAGAATGAACCCTGGAGTGCCGGCATAAACCAGGTACCTGAAACAAATAGGAAATCCAATCCTTTGTTTTTAAAAAGGATTTGCAGGCTTAAACTACTCAACATAAGCAAGGGTTAATAAAAATGTTTGAACAAAAGTCTGGTTGCTGGGTTTCAAATAAATGCAAATATTAAACGTGCCGTGGGTCGGCTCCATCAAAGTGAGGGCTTTCATGTTTAAATGAATTCAAAGCTACACATTAAAACAGATTCTGATTGAAAGGAGCAGCCAATAACATTGTACGCTTCAAATGACGTAAAATGGTCGCACCGAGGCGGTAGTCATTGATCGCTAGTTAAATGTGTTGTTTTAAAATCAATTTAATTTCAACTGTTTAGATGAGCAAAGTCTCACTCAACCTCTGACACTGAATTTAGGATTAAAAAAATGACACACGATCAATTCTATACATAAAGTTTAAGGGAAAACTTTGAGATGAATTCCAACAACCACCTTAATCAAAGAAATCAACAAAACAAAATAGCATGTACTGGACCATTGGTTCAGAACACTGCAAAACTTCTTGTAAGAAGGTGAATAAGAGAAATCTGGTCAACTCACTTTTTGTGTTTCAAGGCCTGGAGAAGACTTGTCTCAGGGTCTACCTTGTACAACTTTTCTTCATCGTTGTTTTCAAAATAAATCTGAAATTCAATCGAAAAAACAATCTGATTCTAGCCTGAGGTTCTCTAAAAAGTGAACTAAAATATAAAAAAACAGAATAAAAAAATAAAATAAAATAAAACAAACAAATACAATATAACTACTGAGGTTGCACAATTTTAACCCCATATCTGTCAAGTGCATTTTTCTGTAGTGTCAAGCGAATGTTAGCATTTTCATATCCTTGTCAATAATGATAAATTCCCAGACTCAAAGAATTCAGACACACGCACAAGTATACATTTTCTGAAAGTACATTAGACATGGTGTCTTATGGTGTAAAAACAATTTTTTTATTATTTTTTTTTTAATTTTAACCTTGACCTTTACGGAGTACAGAGTGAGTAAAAGTTTACTACCCACCTTCTGAATGAGACCCAACCTAATGCTCTATAAAAAAACAAAAAAAAACCAACAAAAAACTGAAGAAGTCAAGTTGTTGAGACACTCAAAGCAAGATTCTTTCAGAAAATGACAAGTTATAGTCACTTAACTTGACAAACATTGTGATACTGGTGAATTTGTTTTATTCACTCAATTTCTGATTTCTGTCATACAAAATACAAAGGGAAAAGAAGAGAGGGGGCGGAGGGGGGGGGGGCGCCGCACGAAATTAGTTCAAAAATTCCATTTGACTGTCTGTATCAGTAACAGTATAAGAAAGCTTAGGTCTAAAATTGTCAATATCTGACTTCTATGTTGCAATCGCAGCTAGAGCTGATACTGTAATTACCATCACATGGAATATCTCTTTTGCTTTCATTTTAATCCATTTTAAATAATTCCAAGAAAGAAACTTTATAGAGTTGATTTTGCAATCTAGAGGGGGACCCTCTCCTGCATCAGACATTATGACGGTAAATTTCACACTCAATTAATCACCAAAAAAATCCTGTTAATACACAGACAGAAATGTAAATAGGAAGTAAACTTATTTTTATAGAGTGATTTCCCTTTAACCAAAATACATTTCATCATTCACATTCTTAATGACGATTTTGCTAGCGGAAGGTTATATCGGTCTTGACACCACAGAAAGGGTGCCGACAGCTGATCATCGTCGTTATGACAGTTAAAGGGTTTAAATATTGAATCAACCTAAAAGAAATATTTCTAACCTCAAGGTCATCAGCTTTGTACTTGTGGTCCACATCCCACGCTGGTGGTTCTTGACTAAACATATGGACAAGGTGGTCATAAAAACTGGAAAGACAATAAAATCTTCTGAACTGACAAAAGTGATGTAAATAACAATAATTAAGATAAATGTATACACATTTACAGAAACAACATTAGTAACCAGGCAAAGAAAGATCAAAATAATGAAAGCTGCTGCTTACAATGCAGATTCTCTGATAAAATTATGTGTCCTCCCCTTTATTTCAATAAAATATTTGCCAGCTATTCAAAGCAACTCAAAGGTTTTTCTCTCAAATAATTCATTACCGGTACTTAAAAAAATCCCTAATTTTATGTCCGACAACCCTAAAATAAAAAAAATTATTTTGAGTTGCCGATATGTTTCCTCTTAACGCTCAATTCAATGTCAATACAGTTTATCCAATGTCTTATCTTGACAATAAAATATATGGCTAATTGTACCCATTAAATTGATATCTTGTCCAACCAACCAAACGATTGCCTTCTCCTACCAATCAAACCAAAATGCCGTATCCAACCAACCAAATAATGCCTTAACTAGCCAATCAAAACGCTGCAGTATCTCACCAATGCTGTTCATTAAAATCGTTGATGAAATCCGTCTCTGTGTATTCAGGATAGAAAAAGATAACAGGCCAATGGAGTGTCCCCTGCTGGTCTAAATGAACTTTGGCGCCTGTTGGGTTGTGTGACTCGAGCGCAGTCAACAACAAGGGATCGAACTTGGCCTGCTTGGGGACCTTCATACTTGCCACTTTGATGCCCCTACCCTGTCAATACAATCATGGCATGTAATGTCACAAAAATCATGGCAAATAAACCCATACAATCATGGCAAATTATGACCATACAATCATGGCCAATAACAATCAATTCCCAATGGACTTCCTTGCAGGAATAGTTCAAAACTTCATAAGCCAATGTAAATCAAACATTAGTAGATTGATGAAGTTTATAACTTTAAGCTAAACTATTTACGTCTCTACGTTTTTGACTTAATTCTTAACATAAAATGAATGGTAAGCGCAGCAATGATTACTGAGTAATGTTTTGCAGCACAAGTACTTACTATAATTGTATCTAGCAGTTTCTTGTCTTCCTCTTGCTCCTTACGTTCCAAGGCTGCTTGTTTTCTCTCGTCACGTTCCTTGGCTCTCTGTTGTTATATTTGAAATGTAAACAAACGATGGTAGAAAAAAAAAAGGGGGAGGGGGGGGGGACTGCAATCAGGTTTAGGTAGGAGGAAGTGTGTGAAACAAAGAATGGAAAAACCTAAACAAGGGTTGCAACAAAACAACTTCATTCTGGTACGTCATATTTCCAGCCTATACTATACCTTATCTCACACGACATTTCATTGTACTGGTAGTGCTTCCAAACATTGTTTATGAATTCTAGCAATTTTCACAAATGAAACTATAGATCAGTGGTTCTCAACCTTTCTAATGCCGCAACCCTTTAATACAGTTCCTCATGTTGTGGCGACCCCCAACCGCACAACTTTTTTTCAGTTGATACTTTATAACTGTAGAGTATATATATTTTCAGATGGTCTTAGGCGACCCTGGGAAAGGGTTGTGCGACCCCCAAAGGGGCCGCGACCCACAGGTTGAGAACCGCTGCTATAGATGGTACATGTCATAAAAGTCAACATTCAATTTGCTTTATAATAAATATATTTTGACTTAGAATTTTCTACAACTCATCTTGTTAGTTGGATGTATTCCCTTTTTTTAGTATTTAGTCCCAAAGGTGTAATCTTTTACACTTATAAACATCATACACTAGTTGAGAAAATAAAACTTGACCAGACCAATCATAAGAGAGCAGAAATATCAAACAATTTTTTTCTTATAAAAAGAGAATTTCTCAAACCCTAAAAAACAAATTTTTTGTAAAAATCCTTGATATTAATATTTTATCATCTCCCACCCGCTTTTACACTGCAGATTTATTTCACCAACTATTTCAGAAAAAAAAATGAAAATATTACGCACCAAAGGCAGTTGCAATATTTAAAAAAAATAAGTATATCATTTTGCGCAAGGAATTTTATTTTGTGAAATCAGTGGTATCGTATTTCCTTCAAATTGAAAATTGATTTTTGGGGGTTGGTGCGTGGGGGGTTGAAAATTTGATAGAATGTGTTGTCACCGGCAATGAGTCTAAGTGCCAAGTTTCAGTCCAATAGGTTGAAGGGAAGTGGGACTATTAGCCATCTGAAGATTTTGCCACAAACCCAGACAGATAGAAACACACAAACAAAAGCTAGACAATTACAATCAACTAATATGACTGACTAGAACAAAGTGGAATGGCACCACTAACCTGGCCCTTGTCTGCTTTAACTCTCAGTTCTAAGATTTCAGAATGCTCTGGATCAACCTGTTGTGAAAAGAGAAAAATAGAATCACCACAATAAAGTGAGAGAAATAAATACGATATAAATAGCTTGTTTGCCAACTTAATTGGCGCATGGATACAAAAATCATTGCACCAAGTAGATGAGCAATGGTAATGTAACTCATACTTATTTTGTTTTAAACAAATTAAAAAAAAAATTATTTAATATTTACTACATGTTTTGTAGAAGAAAAAACATTAAAATCTGATGGTTCAAATAAAAATCAATTCTGTTGAATATATCAAGGTGGTATGGTAACTCAGATTTTTTAAATTCTGATGTGAAAAATAAAATTGTTAGAGAAACTTGCCATGAGAGCAGCATCACACCACCGGATGGCGTCAGCGAATTTCCCCATTTTGAAACAACAGTGAGCTCCTAATACAAATAAAAGCAATTGAGAATTTATCATTTAGAAACATCATACAGCCACTTGCATTGTGAAGAAGAAGCAACAAAAAAATGTTGATGGCAAGAAATGCCCTTTTAAGTTTAAATTTGGCACAAGGACCTGGCGTACGTCACAGCTTCATTCAGAAATGCACAGCTTTACTATTTTGATGTTACAGATTTAGTAACACTATTAAAATAGACAGGAAAAGTGTGATTAATTGCTCTAGTCATAATAAGACTTCGGGATGTGTCAATTGTTCTGTCATTCATTTACTGGGGTAGCTTTGCGTATTGTAAAAGTCAAATCAATGTGAATAGATGAGAGCAATCTCTCCGCATGGAGACACTGGGACCTTTAATGCTGGCACATAGTTTCACAAAATTTGCTCAAGTGAATTTCATAAAAATCTTTATTGAAAGTCATTAGTTAAAGAAGCAAGGTTTAATCATAGAATAAAACGGCTGGTTTCATAAATTAAGCAGCTTACCTCTAACAATTGCCTTAAAATGATCAGGTTGAAATTTACGGGCAAATATGCAGTCATTGAAGGAAGATCTATAATTGCCTGCGCATAGAAGAAAGTACACATTTAGGTTCACCAAAGAGGTAGCCAAACCATTAGCAATTCAATTAAGACCTTACATGTACCTCAAGGTTGTATGTAAAGTTTTCAAACTAACAATGAAATAACACAGGTTGTCTGAGGCATCCTTAATTTATTCTAACAGCATATTTACCTAGATGAAACTGTGCAGCTGCTCTGTTGGCATACAACACTGCATTCAGTTCAGCATCAGGACATCGACTTTTTATGCCCTCTGTGTAGTTGTCAATGGCAATTTTGTATTTCTTCAGTTTGAACTGCTCATTGCCATCTTCCCTGTAACTGCCAGCTCGAGCTGCAATTCATACAAGAAAGTCTTATAAATGTTTATATATTAAAAATTACTGAGAGTGATCTCTTATTGAATTAGAAGACGCATCTCTACAAGCAGGGCTGGAAGTTAACAACCAAAAAACAGGGCATACTTTAGTAGTCAGAAAATACCCAAAAGTAAAAACATTACAAGAGAATCAAAGAAAACTATTTATAAAACTGTAATCAGACCAGTTGTAACATACGCAAGTGAAACGTGGACCCTTACCAAAACGGCAGAAAACCTATTAAACACATTGGAGAGGAAAGTTCTCAGGAAAATTTATATGTCAACAAAGAATGAATATGGATGGAGAATGTGAATCAACCATGAATTATACAGTCTATATCAGGATCCCATGATGATAGCAGAAATAAAAAGAGGCAGGCTACCCTGGGCAGGACACCTAGAGAGAATGCCAAATGTCAGAGGAACAAAGAGGGTGCATCACCAATGCCCCAGAGGAAAAAGGCTCAAAGGCAGACCTAGGCTTAGGTGGATAGATGATGTAGAAAAAGATCTACAGCAGCTGAAAGTCCAATCATGGAAAAGAAAGGCATTAGTTAGGTCTGAGTGGATGGAAGTGGTGAGGCAGGCCAAAGCCCTACATGGGCTGTAGGGCACAGGGATGGATGGATGGACCGAGTGTGATCTTTTCAAGAAAAATGTGTATTCTCGCCTATTGAAATAGATAAGTATAATGTGATTGAAGACAAATTTAAACCAAGCATGTAGTGGAATCAAAGTGATATTCTATACAAAATCTCAGTGACTGAAATTTGTGGATAAAAAATATGGTAATAAGGGGGAAAGACCGCAACCAGGTTAGGTAGATGGAAAATGTATGGGCAAACCAGTAAAATGGATGCAAAAAAAACAACAACAACAAAAAAACAATGAACGTGTCGACAAGAAGCCTTCTTCAACTAACAAACAGTAAAAATAATATAATTTAAAAAAACAGTTAGGTGCAATGTAGTATTTGACAGAACAACAAGAGGAATGTGATGGAACAGAAGTAGATAAGTAAGTAATACAGGTGAAAGGGGACGGAAGAGAGGCAAGTAATTCCACTGCGAATGGTCGTAATGATCTTTGTTTCCCTTATTTTCTGAAAATGAATTAAATTTATTACCTGTTGGGTTTTCACATTCATATTTCAGTTGCATCAAACCTTCTATCTCGGGAGGCAAAGGTTTACTCCAGTCAATATCTGTCATAAAAGCTGGGTGGCTTTTAAGTTCCTTTAGGTAGAAAATATAATTTTCTCAACATCAACATTAATTATTACAATACTCCTTTCCTAAAAGCAATTCTAGGTTAACAGACAGGCCTTGTAATTCAAGGGATATTAGCCATAAAGAGTTTCCATTGTAATTCATCTTTCAAATATTTTTGTTATTGTCATTATTTTATTATATGATGTAATAAGAGGAGATTCTTTTCTTGATCCAAATAAACAGAAGTTTCTTTTAATTTATACATTATGTGCAATCACACTTGTCTATATATAAATTTTTTACAAAAAAATATATAGTGTGCTTAATTAATACATAGATTGAATTTGTAAAAATTGTTTTTTTGTTAGATTTCTCTCAAATTTAAATGCATCAATTTCTCTACCATAATCATAATTAAAAGTTTTACTTTTAAAATAAATATTTTACAAATCTGGTTGCAGTTAAATATATATCAAATTGTTAATTGAATAAAAGATGTAAAAAAAAATATGATATCATATCAATGAAACATAATCACCTCTACGATTTCATCTATTGTTCGATTATCCTCTGGCTCTGTAGCCTTTTTATTCCTGGCAGCAATTGACCTTTCAGCAACAAAATCTTCAAGGTCAGCAGCCAATCTTTCTATAAGTTGCTTCCTCTCCTCGTCCGACATCTTTGGCTTTGACATTTTGACTGAATTCAATGTCAGTTACCAACTACTTTTAAAATTTAATGCTTGAATAGGCCTACTTGATAAACAATAGATGAAGACACCTTAAAGAAAGAAACAAAGAAAAGATGAATTAAAAAAAATAATTTAATACAAATTTTATGTTTAGATTATTTAATAAGTTGGGGCAACTATAACAATGTAATATAAGTATTATGTATGTCACGTTAAATTTATATAATAATTAATAATACTCTTAAGTCTTAAGTAACTTGTAAGCAAATGTATATTAGATGAAATGAGTAGTGAGTAGACATTTAAATTATAAAATATAATTAAGAATTGTTTGTCAAATATACTCATTCACTTTCACTGGACTTGAAAGTGTCTGGCATGATTCAATCATTATTGGCATGCACATGCATTGTTAATGTTTTTATGTCTATACTATAATAATGATAATTCAATATCTCACTATGACTATGTCACTTAAGTCTAATCTTAAATCAAACAGTTCAAAGAAAGAATTCAATTACTTATTAATTTTAATGAATTACTACACTCTACACTAACATAAAATTAATTAATTAAATTTATAATAATATTAATATATTAGTAATCGATTGGGTCTGAACAGACTACATGCAGATCCCAATTTGGACTCATCTAATTTTGAGGACAATTATAGACTAGGGAATGATAACTTAAAATATATCTTACAAGTAGAACACTTCACAGAGCGATCGGAGCAGTCAGAGATCGTTTTCGACACTGACCACACTATAACTATAATTAATTTTAATTAATTTATTTTCGTCCACAGCCCCGCACCAACCTTTTCGTGTAGACCAAAAAGTTTGAAAAAGCAAGCTAAAACAAAAAAAGTAACTTGAAATAGGGAAGACGAATCAGTGTAAATCCTAAAAATTCATTCCTATCAAATCAGTGACTCCCGAAAAAGATTTATCGTATCAATCAAAGACACCAAGAAAGTAAGAAAGCACATGTTTACATCAGTGTCAGATGTTTACATTTTATATACTAGTCTAGCCTTTAAAAATAACATGAATTATGAATGAACGAAAGCGGAAATATGCTATTTAAACAATATAATGAATTTACAAAAACAAAAAAATCTATTAAAATAAATTTAATTTAGAATATGTTTGGTATTACCATATGTTTATTTCTAACATCATCAACAAACATTTTAATGGTTTCAAATGAATGATTAAATTAAATTAATTCATTCAGATTTGCACACAAATTGTATAAATAGTATCTCATCCAAATAGCCTAGATTGGCATTTAAAATGGCGGCACCTTCAGTGTTTTTAGTAATGGTGAGCGGTCAAATTGAATCGGCAGAGGTATGTGTGCCTATGTATATAATTATTTCTAAACAAATAATGTAACATCAACTATCACTCATTATTATTTTCATATAAAATTATTATAAGTTGCTTTAAATAACTCATAAAAGCGTGTAAAATAACCGTCGTCAAGTGTAAACATGTCGTCCATGATCTGATTTGTATTTTATTATTTTATGAATTACTATATTGTCACACTATTATTAGTATTACTACTGAAGGCTATGTCTACCGCCCATACTGAATACTGACAAGTGAACATATAAATCATCATACTCATACTGTGGAGGCCATACCATTGGGCATACTGAACACCATATACCAGCCAACTAATTTGTTAATTAAGACAATTAAGTTTAACACTGGTCCCTTAGTTTCTATCAGTTAAAATGATTAAAATAAGATTAAGAATAGGGATACTGTCTCTGAGTGTACATGAAAATAAATATAATATAAAATACGATTTTACAGGATAAGTATAGACTGTATGACTCATGGCTACTGTATGATAATTGATGTTCCTTATACTTAAATGGAGCATTCCTTATTCTTGCTAAAAAAATAATTTTTCTTTTCAGTTCCCAGAATTTGATGATATTTACTGTAAATACTGCTTTTCATATGGATTAGATTGGGCTATCACATCAGTAAGTAATTCATAAGAAGTTAAAACGTAATATATACCCAGTCTAATGGTCTCAGTGGTGAATCCATGTTGAAAATTCACTAATATCCTATGTAGGTGTTCACGCTGAGCAGGCATGCTATGGCTTCTGATGCAGAACTTTTGTTTATATTTATCAATTTTACATTTATATGCTCGCCCAAGATGCAGAAACCTGCAACTGCATATAGCTCTTTAAAAGAATATTTTTCTTTTAAATATGATTTTCAAGCACCCCTCATGCAGGGGAAATTAAAATGTAAAATTTAAATAAATCTTTAATTAATTCCATATATTAAAACAAGAAATTGTTTCTCTAATCTTTTCTTGCCCACTTCATTAAAATCAAACCTGATTTTTTTTCCCCCCACAAATTTTAATCTTCTAGCTGATAAATATGCCCACCATTGGAACTAAGAATTAAAATTTATAATGATAAAAAATGATAAAAATGACAGTATTGTGTCTGTGCATTGCCAGCCAATGGAAAGCTGAGAACCCCAGTAACAAATCTCAAGAGTGAACATACCTTAAAGCTGACTGTTTTGGAAAATGTTCCAGAGGGCATAAGTGGGATGGTCTGCTTATGAGCCGGTCATAAGAGTTTCTAAATATTTCTTTCCCTCAAGCTAAATTAGATAATAAAATTGTGTTTCTAGATAATTGAGGTCATAGGCATTCAATTACATGACTAGAAGATTTAAATATTAATAAAATAAAGATATCAGACTTTGATGGAACTACTATTGTGTCATTTTTAGCACAAGGAAAATCTAATTCTTAAGTCTAGTTATTCTTTTGTAACATTTCGCTCACCCTGGCATATTATGGGGTCGGATAATTAGTGGATTTTTAGCTTGTCTGTCTTTTCCTGTCCAAAAGTTTAAATCCAATTATTAATCATTCTTCTTGTTTTACCAGGGCCTAGAAGAGAGTATCACACAGATAACAAAGAAGAGTCGAGACCAATATCAAAGATTTGTCTGGAATTTTCCCATTGATGCTACATTTAAGAGTACTAGTCCTGCTGGATGTGAGTTGGCTATGGGGTCATCCATAAATGACATCACACTATTTTAGTCTATATTCGTGTGCCCCCCCCCCCCCTTTTTTTTGTTTTTTTTGTTTTCTTCTTTCTTTTCCCCAATTGTCTAATTTTCCCATTTATGCTACATTTAAGAGTTCTTGTCCTGCTGGATGTGGGTTGGCTATGGGGTCATCCATAAATGACATCAAACTATTTTAGTTTTTATTCGTGTGCCCCCCCCCCCCCTTTTTTTTGTTTTTTTTGTTTTCTTCTTTCTTTTCCCCAATTGTCACCAACTTAAGACTACTTCATAAAACATGATCATAAATTTATGGATGGCCCCTATCATTTTTTTTCGTTCTAATTTTCCTTCCTGACTAAACTGAATGCTGTTATGATAATATTGATGATGATATATATCTACATGTGGGTCAGCATCATTATCTCAGCACACAGAATTGCTGACTTAAAATGGAACCATCAAATTCCACTGGAAATGAGCAATAGAAAAAAATATCCAGAAATTGATCTTCAAAAAACATACACAAAAAAACCCACCAAAATGTAAAAAAAATTCATGTAATCTTTCCTATTATATCAGCTATTCATCCTATACCTGTTGTCATAGTTGTGAAATTTGTCTCAGTCTCCCTGCTCTTTTTATCTTTTGTGTGAGGAAAAGCTGAATCGCATTTTAGTGACCAATAATGCAAGAAGAAAAAAAAAAAGAAAGAAATTTTATTAACTTTTTTTTTTTAGTTATCAACTTTTCATATTATTAGCTCAATTTTTATTTTGTTAATTTTGTTTCTTGTGTTCCTATGACTTTTTGCAAATATCATTCATTCATTTAAAAATTCATGAAGTAATGAGAAGTTGATGACTATTTATAAATTTTTTGTGAATGATATAAAATTAGAACAGCTGTTTCTGGACAGGGCCGAAATCTCAAATCTTAAATTTAGAGTGTTTTTTTATCCATAGGTCTCTGATTCTTCAATTCTTTAATAAACTACATTTCTCATCCTTAGGGCCCCAGCTTGTAGTCTATGCATACGGTCTTGATGTCTTTGGCACGGATGTTGTGCGCGGTTATGGTGTCTGCCATGTTCCAATCACACCAGGAAGGTTTGTGATTCCATAAACTTTAAGTGGCTGCAACAATGCATTTCATTGCCTTATAGAAATCCCTTAGCATGGTAACAAGGTGGTTGAATAATTTCATGCTCAAACTTTTCATCCCCATATTTCAGAATGATCTGAATTGTTACTTTTTTGTTTTCACATCTTCCAACGTTCAGCATCACTTAATCAACAAATCAGCTCAACCCAAACTTATAATGACAGATAGTTAATAGTTGCTATTTTGAGACTGTGTGGATATATTGAGAGTATCATCATTCGACTGTCAGATACCGTCAATACTTATATAGTACTTTGATCTTTTGAGTTAAGAGGCCATTTTTTAAATGCCTGGGTGAGATATAAAACTCAAGTGCCCCGTGAACCTTACAGTTAAAATGAATTCATTATGATATGCTCTCCTTGTTATTTTTCTTCCCATTCAGGCACCGACTAAAAATCCCCATGTTTGTGCCGGAATCGTCTTCCTTGTTCCAGAAAATGACGGCCTGGTTTTTGGGCAGGCGGCCAGAGTACGTCAATCCCAGAGTTGTGGCCCAAGGGGAGGGAAGAGAGGGTGAGATAATCCATATTGAAAATTTTCATTCATCAGTCATTTCTGTCATAAGAAATTCCTGTCCATTCAATGTTTAATTTTTGTAAGTGAATGGCTCCATTAAAATGGACTAGCAACTTGTAAATTAATATTTACATTAATAAACCTTTACATTGTAATTTTATGGTTCCATGGGAAGTACACAACTTCAGTGTATCTACCATTTACATGTACTTTCAATCGCCATGGTTTGCTGGGGCGTTTGTTGTTGTTGTTTTTGGTCGACAACTCTAAGCCAGCTTTCAAACATTTCAGTGACGAGAGTTCGCAGCCAAGGTTTCGTCACAGTCTCATTTAACGTGATCATGAAGGATATGAAAAAGTTGGGCTACGACGTCCAGCCCTCAGATGTTCAAAACCCAACCATCCCTGACAACGTCAACACAACCGTGGCAGCAAGTTAACATTCCCGAACGCAAAGGTTTATCCGTGTAAATTTCATCTTTACCAAACTCCATATCGACCAATGTCTCTGCAAAGTGGCATGCGTAAGATATTTTGCTGTAAGACTGCCAGAGATAACAGGTTAATATTTAAAGAGAACTACTTCAGTGTATTGATACATTTGAAAGGTTTTTATGTTCATCAGTGACTTTAAAAATCATGTTGAAAATTTACTGTAGAGTTGGATTGTTGTGTTTGTAATAAACGACATACATATGTTTTGTTAAGAATATAGTTGCTAGACATTAATTAAGACTAGACAAATAGCCATAAGTCACATCAATAATTTCATATTCAATTATGTCATAATATTGTTGTTTTTTTATTCCGTCCATTCAATATTAAAACTTTTATATAATGTTATGTTTATTTGTCTTAAAAATATCTTTTACATGTCATCTCATAATCATAGATTTTATGTGTCTGGACGAATGTTTTTTTTCTTACATATGGGAGCAAAGTTGATGAATAATTGAAATTAAAAAAAAATCTTCTATTTGACTCAGCCCTGTACTACATTACATCCGTACTATTGGACTCAGCCCTGTACTACATTACATCCCTACTATTGGACTCAGCCCTATACTACATTACATTCCTACTATTGGACTCAGCCCTGTACTACATTACATCCCTACTATTTGACTCAGCCTGTACTACATTACATCCCTTCTATTGGACTCAGCCCTGTACTACATTACATCCCTACTATTGGACTCAGCCCTGTACTACATTACATCCCTACTATTTGACTCAGTCCTGTACTACATTACATCCCTACTATTTGACTCAGTCAGCCCTGTACTACATTACATCCCTTCTATTGGACTCAGCCCTGTACTACATTACATCCCTACTATTGGACTCAACCCTGTACTACATTACATCCCTACCATTGGACTCAGCCCTATACTACATTACATCCCTTCTATTGGACTCAACCCTATACTACATTACATCCCTACTATTGGACTCAGCCCTATACTACATTACATCCCTACTATTGGACTCAGCCCTGTACTACATCCTTACATTGTTGTAAGATTGAGGGAAGTAGTGGGTTGTCTAAATGTTCCATGTTTAAATCTTTGAGGGTGGCATTTCTATGTGTTTTTGTAATCCAGCATTCTTCGGCATCAAAAACACGTACTTGCTTTTATTTGTTTTTGAAAGAGATTTAACTTAAACAGTCAATCGTGCATCATGACATTGTACTTGTGTGAGATACTTTTAATGGATGCCGTTACTGTAGTTTCAGCATGATGTATGAGAATCATTAGGGTGAAAATGATTAATGAGGTCTGAATTATCTGTAAATAAAAGATTATTTATTTCGTCAAGACATTTTTGTTGTTTATTTAATGTACAAAGAAATGAAGAGAATGAGAAAGTCAAACATGAGAATGTCAAACATAAGAATGTCAAACATGAGAAAAGTCAAACATAAGAATGTCAAACATGAGAAAAGTCAAACATAAGAATGTCAAACATGAGAATGTCAAACATAAGAATGTCAAACATGAGAAAAGTCAAACATAAGAATGTCAAACATGAGAATGTCAAACATGAGAATGTCAAACATGAGAAAAGTCAAACATAAGAATGTCAAACATGAGAAAAGTCAAACATAAGAATGTCAAACATGAGAATGTCAAACAT